AAAAAAAAAAAAGTGTAACAGTTATAGGTGATAGATTTGAAATCTTATTACCAAATTTTAAAATTATGGGAGAATTCATATTTTTTTATCAATTCATTGTTTTCAAGTGTAAATATATATTTCAAAAAAGTAGAAAATAAGAACATACTTATAAATATAATGGTGTCTGGAGAATAATCGTGCACTTCCCAAATCCATTTGGAAAGCTCTAGAAACGAAAATTTGTTTGTAACATCATACAGCAAAAGAGCACCTTCCATTGTTATAAAATACCTAAATACGAAGTGAAAAGATTATTTTATTTTTGGATTAAGATATAAAAAATCTATTCAAACTGTAATAAAAAGGTGTTCCACCACCCAATCACCACCCTTAATATAGATTTCTTTGTTAAAATTTAAATAAAAATGAAGATAAACATTAGAAGTAGTAATTTAACACTTAAGCAAAGGAAAAGCAAAAAGGTAATCAAATCCTGAAAAATGTTTATTGATAAAAGGCAAATTGTGAATATCTAAACAAACTGGATTGCTCTATAAGAATTATAATAGGGAATTTCAGTTATTTGAAACACTTTCAAACTTCTTTTAGCATTTAAACCTGTTTCAATTTTTTTTTATCTGTATTTCGATTTTTTTTTATTGTATCTGAATAATGAATGATGAATAAAGATTTATTCATTAGTCAGAAATATTATGAATAAAGAATAAATCATTCATTATTCGTTATTCAGTATCCTTTATTCGTTAGTCAAGAATAACTGAATAATTTCACTGGTCAACAAAAATGGGCACGGAATACTCCAATTGACTACGATTATGACAACTACAAATAAAACGTTAATCCTTTTCAAGTATATTTATTTAATGTTTGAGAAAATTTACTTTTGTCTAACATAATGCATACTTTTGAGAAATGGTTACATGGCAAAAAAGCGTTTAATTTTTTAAGTTAAAATTTTATTTAAAAATTTAAAATAATATTATCGTTTGCTTTCAAAAACTATAAAAATTGCGTTTTATAGATTTTAGAACAAAATTTTAAAATGAACTTAAGTAACTAAACTGTTATAAACCTACTTTTTAGCACAACTAAGTATGTTACGCTGGAGTAAGTTAAAATAACATAAAAATAAATAGTCATACTTGTCTTAGTTTTATAGTTTAATTCCTAAAATAAGACGTTTAAGAGCAAACGATGTTTTGCATCTCGTTATAGACAAAAACATATCGATTGCATTTTTTGCTGGTTATTCAAAATCTTATTCAGAAAAATTAGTCATGACTAATGAGTTTATTCATCAATCATTATTCAAAAATTTTTATACATTTGCATAATGAATGATGAATAATGACTAAATTTTCATATGAATAACCATTCAGAATAAATTTATTCTGAATAAATTTAGTCATGAATAAAATTTTCGTGAATGATGCCCATCACTGGTATTTACTCATCTGATATTACTATCTAAGCAAATGAGTATGTTTCGTATGTTTTATTTTAAGCTAAACCGAATGATATTAGCCACAAGTCGATAGAACAAATAGTTGAAAGGGTGCAAAGGTTTTCATATCTGAAAGGTATTTTTTTCCACGTACTTAACTATACACTTTGACTTTGCCATCTGAACATGTTATGTATATTTTTCGATGTAATTATTCATGCTGAATTAGAGGAAATTATTTCCGAGAGGATTGGGTTAACAGTTTCGAAGTCATAAGCGCTTTATATATCCAATTTTGCACTTGCACCTATTTAAACATCTTGCATTGCTATACAGGCAAGTGATGTATTTTCTAATTTGTATATTTCTAATATGTATTTTTCTTACATTTAATCGAATGCGTCCAAACACGAATCAAGAGGGCTAATATTTCAAATGCTTAAATGATTTTTTTGTATCTGTACTATTTTTGAATTGCGCTTATTACGAAGAAATCCTTTATAACTGAAAAATTATTTAACCTTTCAACTCGAATCTTATTTTATTCAATTCAGTAAAAAAAATTTCATCAGAAAATGACCTTACATGTTCATATAGCCTCTAGATCTGTTCTAAGTCATGCCAAAGTTTGTACTTTTTATACATAATGAAAACGTTTGCCCCTTTTAAGGTGCAAGCGTTACATCATGGACAAACAAAGTACATCATGTACAATACATCACGTACAATACATCACGTACAATACAATAAAGAGGCAAAATTGCCCATCAAAAATCATACTTAAAAATAATATTTCTTAACTTACCCAATCGGTATATTTCTATGTTTGTCATTAACAGAATGGTTACCAATATAAAATGTTGCATCCAAGTTCTGTACTTTAATTTTACATTGTTTACCATGAATTCGGGTTCTTTTTTTGTATCCTACGAAGTAAAAATCAGTTAGCGCGTGAGTGACTTATCACATCTGATACGATTGAGTAATGAATGCAAAAAATCATATCCTTAAACAAAATTGCGTTTAAATTATAACAATTTTCAACATGTTTTTCTTTTTTCAATAATGCAATGGAATCTTTCGTTTTACGAACACTTAGGTGAAAACTGAGAAAAAATACCGGAAAACAAAATTTGAAAATAATTATTACATATTTTATTGATTTGGAGAATCTATTTTTATTTCTGTGTGTTTTTGTTTTATTAAATTTAATTGAAAATTGTTAAATTTGAACGTTTTTTATTGCAGCCAGACCTTTACCAAGCTATCCATATATATATTTCTCTTACACGGCGATAAAAAAAGCCTCATTACAACTCCCCGAATGGCAACGCTAGAAAATCGACCAATGATTGCCGCTAAAAATGTCACATGCCAAATCTAGGTCAGGTGGCTCAACATATAGCGCTTTTAAAAACGGAAACTGAAATAACCAGGGAGAGCATAAGCTAGGCAGAAGTGAGTAGTCTTTGTCTATAGATCTTTATTTTAGTATTTTGTCGAAAGCGTTTTTTTTTCACGAATTTAAATATTAGGAATTTATTTGACGATTTTTGATTTATATCACGAATTTATTTGTTTTACAGGAATTTATTTGTTTTACTAGAATTTATTTGTTTATGCAGGTTTTTCCATTGCAATTCACTTATTCAATTTTTAATAGACTTAATTATAGTCAAAATTTTAACCTTTTTAAAGAGATATTAGTTTTAGAAATTTTATCTTAAGATTTAATACTACAGCACATTTCTAATAGGTTTAAGGAATTACATGTCATTTATTTGAATACAAATTTTTTTTAATGACTTAGTATTTACCAAAAAGATGTAATTTTTTTTTTTAAAAAAAGATTGCTATATGGATTTGAATTATTGCTTGAAATTGTAGAATTTTGTGCATTTGCAATGTACCTAAGTTAGTAGCGAGCGAAGCGAGCTTGGTTTGCGAAGCAAACCATATAAGATTGCGTAGCAATTTTCGGGTGTTGGCGAGCGTTAGCGAGCAGGGGGCTCAGCCCACTTGTATATGTTTATTCTACATAATATCTATACTGTTTATTGTAATGAAGTTATATACCCCCGTGCGTGTAATCACAAATTGTCGAGGTCTCAACAGATTTTGGCTCTTTTACAAAGCTTATTTTGGCGAAAGATTATTTGCTGAAGAAATTCACTCAACACGTGTGCAACTCATCTTCTTTTCATTAAAATAAAAAGAATATCGCGATTGACAGAGAACAATTGTTAATGATACCACAAACGGATGTTAAAATGAAAAAACAATATTTTAATAGATATTTTTTTAAATTTATTGTCTCATGTAAGACATTGATTTAATTTTAAAAGATCTAAGCAAAAAAAAATCTAATATGTGTGAAATCTAATATGTAGCACAATAATTTGATAAGTGTAATGACAAGTGATTATATATGATTTGTGATTATTTATAGTGATTATATATAATTATAATGACAAGTGATTAAACAAGTGTTATACATGCTCTTCAAAAGAATACATGAACTGTTTAACCTAATTAATTTTACTGATTCATATTTATTTTTAATATTAAATTCAAAACATTTTATAAAAAATTGGTATTTAGTAACTAGTTTTTTGATGTAATACAAGTAAAGTTTAAAACCGAAAAATTCGTTCATTATTTTACTCAAAAACTATCAATGTTTTCTTTCTAAAATCATATTTTACCTCTTTAAGTTATTCATTATTAAAAACTAGCCCTTACTGCTTCAAATTAGGTGCAAATGTTTTATTTTTAGCAATCATGTTTACATGCATTCGTCATTCTTACTTTTTTTTTAATGAGGATATCTTTCACATAAATGAATATATTCTTCATATAAAATAAAGATTCTTAGCTTATTTGTAATTAAATAATCTAGAAGTTAGATTTTGTTCAAACGCAAAGAATTGCAGATGTCAATATTTAGTTATTTTTTTATTTCCAATGAGCTGCACAATCAGACTTGCCGATGAGCAGACCTAATGCGTTCTCCAGAGGTGGTATCCACTCTTTCATGACCACCACAATGGGTGAGATACCGTTGGTCATGTTAATTTGGACGTCTAGTTTCTGTCATACTAGATGGCAGCACCGAGACTCTATTTGGATGATAAAGTGCACTAGGAATTTAATTTTGCCGGAAATGCCAAGAGCCAATAAGGCACTCCAGGGATCTTTTACATGCCGCATAATCATACGACATGGCCGCTGAGGATTTTCTGCATCCCGAAAATCCGTTGTCTGGGCCGGGGATCGAACCCGCAGACTTGGGCTCAGAAGGCCGACGACAAACCAACTGCGCCACCCAGCCACTCAATATTTAGTTATAGTTGTTATCAATAGTGTTTTTAATTTTTTTATTTTTACTTGATGCTTTACAGTGTGGCGTAACTACCACTACGATTATTAAACATCAATTCACTAGCATATAAGACTTGCTAACTTGACTCCATCGTGAGATACCTTTGATAGATGAAAGATGGTCAATACACCTTTCCCCACATTGGTGACCTGCGGCAGTGATATGATCACGACTACCTCGATGTATTGTCCAAATTGAACAGTTGACTTGCTATTTGTGACTGCTCCACCGTCCTCCTCGCGCTGATGCTTCTCAGTCTAATTTTCACACAACGAGATACTGCACACACTCGAAAGCTAATAGCAACACAGGAGAGTCCTCACGCACAACCATGAACTTAATACAGCTCTCATGGCTAAAGCTCAAAACCAGGTCACCTTATTCCATTCCTCCCGGTCTTTCACAGATACAGCAACTAGTGGCATCCGCACCTCGAATTCTAACCCTGATAAAATTCTGGTGGGGGAGTATTGTGGCATAACTACCACTACGATTATAAAACAACAATTCACTAGTATATAAGATATGCTAACTTGATTCAATCTTGAGCTACCTTTTGTTAGATGAAAGTTGGCACGGTAAATAACGCCTTTCCCCACAACAGAAAAATAATATTTTTCAGGCATTACAATAAATAATTTAAGAACTGCTGTTAATGAGGTTTCAGGAATATTAGTGGTTTCAAATTTGTTATTTGTAAAAAGACCAAATGCTTTAAGTCTATGCTTGGGACAAGTAAGCAGTACTATAGTAGATAATTATTCTTTTCATGCCAAATGTTTCAAAAGATTTTGAATAAGAATTTATACGAAAGAGAGAATACGGATGTAATTACCGTGAAATTCTCCAGTTAGATATGCTTCAAGTAAACTTGTTTTTCCTACCACTAAAAAATAAAAGTAGTTAAATAAAATATAAGTAAATAAAAGGAAAATACATAAAATATTATCATTATAAAACTGAAAACAGAAAATCCTTATCCTTATTTTAAAATGTTCATACTTTCACGTATGAAGTACCAATCTTTATGTTTCAAAAGGTTTACCTCAAATATGTCAAATTCAATTGTCACATAGTCACCTGTTCGTTTGCAATAGTAACTAGAAAACGAGTTATGTAATGGAATTTTAAAATATCAGTAGAAAAATGTAACCAATAAATTTTATACAACTTTATATAAATTAAGTTACAAAGATAAGATTCTATGACAGAATAAGTTCATTTTTCCTTTTAATATTTGATAAGATTTTTCAATTTATTTTTATACACCTACTTCACTTTCATCTTCATTTAGTCTTTTTATCTACCTCTTTTTTTTTCTTTTTTGCTTTATTCTCTCCCATTACATCAAATGCCTCAAAAATAACTTTTTGGCCATCCTTAGATATCAAACCAAATATCTTAGAAATATTAAAGGCTCTTAGATATCAAACCAAATATCTTAGAATTATCAAAGGCCCTTAGATATCAAACCAAATATCTTAGAAATATCAAAGTTCCAAAGATATCAAACCAAATATCTTAGAAATATCTAAGGCAAGAAATATTAAAGGGGACAGTTACTCCTCACAAAAAACAGGATAGGACTGGAAATACATCGACAAATCTATGTCTAAAGCAATTAAATATTCTGCTAAGTTAAAATAAAAATTAGGACGCTTCCTCCACTGGCCGCAATTTAATACGAATTTTTTAAAATTTGATTTCTCAGGAACTATTCGTCCGATATCGCCCAAAACTTTGCATTTTGTCAGAAAAAATTACATCGTTTAAAATGATGTAAAAAATGTATACAATTCAATTTTTTTCGATTACTATTAAATAAAGTAATAATAAATATTTACTAAAAGCTTTTTTTGCCTGGAATCATCTTTGGATAAGCAAAGCTTACAATTGAGGGCAAAAAAGTTCCCAAAACTTAGTTTAAAAAGTTCTCAAAACTTAGCGGAATAAAATGAAAACCAATTTAAACTAACATTAAGGGGTCGAAACTTTGAGCAACTTTCCTGACCAAAGAATAGGGACCATATTTCCCAGATCGTGTCTACCGCTTACATTTCAGTGATCAGAAAACCAAATCGATCGAAGAAAATATATTTATTCAAAGAGTTTTTGTGTCTGATTTCGTAACTTTAAATATCATTTGCACTAATTAATAAGCAGATATGAGGTCCCCTCTTTGAACCATTAAGATTGAGTTCTAGTACACGAAAATCCAATCATTCGATTAAAAATTATTTAAGGTGTTTTTTTTTTTTTTTTTTTTTCCCTTTCCNTTTTTTTTTTTTTTTTTTTTTTTTTTTTTTTTTGCTCTGTACAAGGAGAAAAAAAAAACTCGATTATTATCAACTGTTTAACTAGTAAAAAAATACTATTTCGACCATTTTGCCGATTGCCAAACTGCTAACACAGAAATGAAATTTAATGTGCTGAAAGAAAATGTGCTGAAAGAAAATGTGCTGAAGAAATAAACGCTAATTCTCTTTTATCACTTTTTTTTAAAAAATTCCAATTTGCTTGAAAGTTATTGCAATTTGCAGTATTTTTTTTCGTGCTGTTTTCTTAAAATTTTTGCAATAAATTATGATTATTTATTGACTGTTGTAAAGAAATTTCTCACTCGAAATCATCATTTGGTCAATTGAAGCCAAAAATAACGAGAACAACAACAAAAACGAATAAATATAACACAGCAAAAGAAGAGAGGGAAGGATTTGATGTTGCTAGATATTTATTTAAAATTTTTAAACGGGGACATAACTTAAATACATTAATAGAATTGAATTGATAAATCAGTTAAATTTAAAATAGTGAAAATCGAATATTTTCCCCTTAAATTGCGGAATGATTTGAATTTCACCGTGAATTGTAGTTTCAAAATATATAATCAAAATATCAATATAATATGAATAATCAAAAACCACTATTCACGGGAAAACAAAATTTTTAAATAAAAATAAATCTCTACATTTGTTTCATTGGATAAGTTTCATTGGACAAAATTTCATTGTTCGAAAGTTTAATTGGATAAAATTTTTGAAGCCTAGAAAAATAACCTGCTTCATTCTTGACAGTGTGCGTCCTAAATTATATATTATAACCTTCTCATAAGTATATTTTCGTCAGAGATTTTTCCTGAAAATTTATTTCCTCTAATTTTTCTTCAACCATCAAACATTTAAGCGAAAACTCTATCCGAAAAAAAAGGAAACACAAGAATTGTTGCCAGTCTCTCTCCATAGCTTTCGTCATTTTAATACTATTAATCCAAATAAAAATATATATTGAGTTATTAGTAAAAATGCAAACATTTTAATAAGTCAGCATTCTTACAATAACTCAGTTGTATGTGATAAATAAGTTAGTTTTACAGTGCAGTAGTTCAGGAGACGAGTCAGTTTTAAACTAATTGGTTTATTTCAAAAAAAATAAAATAAAATTTGAAATTTATTAGCATTAATATAATTTCAAAATAAGATTAAGATAAACCGACTGATTTCGACACAGATTTTTTTTTTAAAAAAAAGGATACATATATAGATATAAATTACAAATATAT